GGGTGAAAAAATGAAATTTTGAAATTGAAAATATTTTTGAAAACAAACTTAATTTTTTTTTTTCATTTGGGGGCGGGGTTTGGGGACTTGTTTGAGGGTAGGGACAAAATAAATTGATTTTTTCAACAAAAAAATAATTGTAATTTGAAGTTTGGAAGAGTGTTTTGGAAAATGTTTTCCATAAGTTTTGAAGGGAAGTCATTTTCCTTAAATTTGAGGAAAATGAGTTGATTTGGAAAAATATTTTCCAAAACATTTAACCCAACCAAACATGAGAAAATTAGAAAATATTTTCCGGAAAAATGTTTTCCTTCATACCAAACACACCCTTATTGTCTGGAAATTTGAATCAGACTTTGAATTTAATATACTTTGATTTTATTATACTATCTTTAATACTATTCATGATTACTGATCCCCACATAACAATTTCCTTTATTACTGATCACTAAATAACAATTTTCAAAGTATTTCACCACATAAACAGTCCATATTTTTTTAAAATGTGTGACTAAACAAGGGTCGTTTAGTTTGAAGAGATTGTAATGTGCGGAGAAATAATTTTTTAAATAATTGAGCGAGGATTGTTTCAGTGATAATAACAATGTAATTAAATTGATGTATTATTAATTTTTGTATACTTTATATTCTTCCGTAGTTTTTACATAACTTATGATGGTATTTATTTGTGCCGGCAACCAGAATTTTATAAATGGCTAATGATGAATGTATTACACTTGCAATCAAATGAATTAATCTATATTTTATTACTAGCAAAGGCATTCTATTGGTTGCTGAAGAATATTAATAATGTTCTGTTTTTTCTTTTTCTTAATTTGGTTGAAGTGCAGAATTTTAAGAAAGAGGACATTTGATTATTTAAACAAAAAGAAAACAATTTAAAGCAGGTTGCTTACTGAAAATATAGAATAATACGCAAAAAGAAAGTAAAAAGCAAAAGAATTGGTCAAAAAGAAGGAAGGACGCGTGGCGTGGTTCTTCTCTAGCCAACAACCCCTAAATGGAAATCTAGTTATGTCCACACGTGTTCCTTTTATTTCATTCTACTCTTCCAATTAATTTGTTTCTTGTTTTTTAACTTGATGTATAATTTAAAGGGATTTT